TTAACTGACATGCAAACATTTTTCTGTACCATTTACTTTTGTGCTGGAAAACTAATGTTTGGAATTGATAATATAGAAGTTAAAAATAAATAAAAAATCTATAATGAAGTTTGTACTAAAAAAATTAATATAATTTTTTGTGATGCGTTTAGTGATTCTGGTGATAATTTTTCAAGCCTTTTTTTTCTCACTCAGTATTTTCCAGTGATGGTCAACATTCAGTGTCATGTTAATAGTAGAGACAGCAAATGCTGGACTCAAAGTTCCAGAATGCAATGCAACTACGTTTATGCAGCTGCACTGAGACTTGGCTTGGCTAGTCAAGTTAATTATAAAGCTTAGTATACAAGTTATTTGGGGATGATTGTTCCTTTAATGTTTAACATTAGTGTACAACCCCGGTTCTCTACAGTATTCAGATGACTTGCTGTGTATTTTCAGAGTAAGTAAAGATCAGAGAAATACTCAGAGCAGGACACTGATGAACCACAGCCTCATCAAGACAGAAGCCTGATTCCACCAATCTGATTAAACACCTCCACATTACCTGCCACCCACTCACTCTCTCTCTCTCTCTCTCTCTCTCTCTCCTGTCTGTTTTCTCCACACCTGCCTCATCAGTCATGCTTTTTAATTGTTTTTTTTTTTCTCCATCTCCTTCTGTCCGCCTCACCTCACTTCATTTTTTCCATCACATATTTTCTTAAACATTCCCCATCACGTTCCTATGATCATTAAACTTCATCCACCTTTCCCTCAGTACCCAGCTTGTAATGTACAACCATTCATTAACAGATAAGAAGATCATTTTTAATTAATTAAAGGGTAGTTCATCACCATGAGGACACTTGAGGTACTTGAGCAAGGTTAAAGATTTGGTCATATTCCAGTTCGTAAATGAAACTGGCTAAATGTTTTTGGCAAAGATCCCAAAAAAAAAAAAAAAAAGCTAATGAGTTACTGGGTGTACATATTTCATTGCACATACAATTTATAAAGTACATACAGTATATTATTTATTATTTTTTATATATTTCTTTTTTTATCCATTAGGAATTAAAATGTGCCATGCACTGAAAGGTGACCGGGCTCTGGCATTCATGTTCCATTTTTCACCTGCTACTGTCTGAGAAACAAATGAGCTCATGTGCCGGTTAAGTGAACACTGAAAACCAGGGCAGAATTTTAAATAAGGTCGAGTTAGAGGTGTTAACTCATAAAAGAAGCGATGCCTTCAAGAAATAATTTCTTTTAACATGACCTCATATTTTCTTATATACTTTCTGCTATACTGCTGTATACAACCTTTACCTGTTTGCTAACAGGCAATGTAGTTCTTGGTTGCTTTTTGGACGTATATGTGTGATGAGATGAAAATGAAAGACTTGAAGTTCTCCGGGTAAGAACAATTTGTTGAAGAGTGAGATCAGAGGAGAATGGCCAGACTGATTTAAGCTGATCAGGTGATGTTTTTCCAGTCTTCAGCTGTCCAGTTTTGTACCCACTGTTATTTCAGATTCCTGTTCTTGGCTGAAAGGAGTCAAACTTGATGTGGTCTTCTGCTGTTGTAGCCCATCTACCTCAAAGTCTGGCAATTTTTGCATTCTGTAATGCTTTTCTGCTCACCACAGTTGTAAAGAGTGGTTATTTGGGCTACCGTATCCTTTCTGCCAGCTTGAATTGGTCTGGCCATTCTCATCTGACTTCTCTCTTCAAAAAGGCTTTTCCACACACAAAACTGGCCCTTGCTTTTTGCTTTTTGCATCATTCTGTGTAAAGTCTACAGACTGTTCTGTGTGAAAATCCTATGAGATCAGAAGTTTCTGAAATACTCAAACCAGCCCATCTGGCACTGACATCGATGCCACAGTCAAAGTCACTGAGATCACACCAACCATCAGCTGAAGCTCTTGACCTGTTTATGCATGATTTTATGCACTGCACTTCTGCCACATTTGGCTGATTGGATAATTGCATGAATGACATGTACAGGTGTACAGGTGTACAGTGTACAGGTGTTTATATGAAAGTGGCCAGTGAGTGCATATATGCTTTGTATTAATTTCTACATATAGTGTGTTTGCAACTGATGGTGATGTTTCTGGCTCACATCCTCACCTTGGTGAGTCGGCATACCACCGTGTACTGGTTTTGTGAACTTTCTCTGCTTTGCTGTGTTGCTCAGGAATGACAGTCTGTTATGATCAACAGAAGTGACTGCAATTCTGACTTGCATTAACAGTGTGTAATGTGCAAACGTAGGAGTTGTGCAAACTCCTTCCTGTATGCCCTCTCAGATGAGGCTGTATAGCAGCACACAGATGGAACAGAAAACTTAATTCCTTCATAATGTAGAGGTTTTAGAAAGCTTAGTGAAGTTGTTTGATTTGTCAAATATCTACTTAACAACCAAAAGTGCATATACAGATAACACTTTGTTTTTTGGATGGCCAAGATAGAGTCTGATACCTCATGCCAGTTAAGGTATTGTGAAATGACAGGATTTCCCTTTAAATCAACAAACTGAAACAGTTTTGTAAGAACTAATGGTCTGTAATTTTTCCAACCCAAAGTGTAAGTCTGATCAGCAGCTACAGTACATGAAATGTTTGGTGCGGGTTATTGCACTCTGAAATACACTAAATGGCCAAAAGTATATGGACACCTCTTTTAATTACTGTGTTCGGCTATTTCCGCCTAATCCATTGCTAACAGGTGCATAAAATTAAGCATACAGTCATTCAATCTCAACAGACAAACGTGGGAGTAGAACGAGTTGTACTAAAGAGTTTAGTGACTTTCAACACGGCACTGTCAGAGGATGCCACCTTTGCATCCTAGTCATTTTGTCAAATTTCCACCCTTCTCTGGAGTGATGCATTGTGCTTCACTATCTGGTACTCTGACATATGAATTAGTCGGATGCCAGGAGAACACTACCTGCCTGAATGCATACAGCCAACTGTAAAGTTTGGTTGATGAGGAATAATGGTCTGGGGCTGTTTCTCATGGTTTGATCTTGGCCTTTTAGTTCTAGTGAAAGGAAATCATAAAGCTACAGCATACATAGACATTCTAGACAATTGTATGCTTCCAAATTGCAACAGTTTAGGGAATGCTCTTCCAGCATAGCAATGCTCTGTGCACAAAGTGTGGCCTATAAAGACATGGTTTGGCAAGGTTGTTTTTATATCTTGGTAGGAAACAGTCCCCAACTGTCCCCACAATTATAGGAATATTTGACTTTTTTTTTTTTTTTTTTTTTTACTTTTTGGGGACATTTTGCTTGTCCCTACAAGAAAACTGCTTTTGTTAAACAAAAATTGCAGCTTTTATTTCAAAAACTAACAGAGCCAAAATGTTCCCTTTTGGCTACTGAGATTAAGGTTACTGAGTTTGATTTAGTTGTAGACATAGCAGGAATTAACTGCATTGATAATTATATTACTGTGTATGTCTGTATGCCTCTACTATTGGAACTTAGTTGATCAGCCCACTCTGCAAAATCAATGTATTTTATATTGATTTCGTTAAGCTTTGAGCATGAAAGGGGTTCTGATGCTTAAATGCTTGAATCCAGAACTATAAAACACAATCAACATAATATGGCCTCCTTTTTTTTTTAAATTACTTTTCTGTCACTGTAACGTTTGGTATCTACACACTGTAAGCAATGTCTTTACATGCACAAAAATCACAGGACACACTTCTGGACACTTTTCCACTTAGCCTTAAGATAATAACTTAACTTTTACAGAGAAAAACATAGAAGACGTGATACATATCATACCATACTGATATCAGTTTTGTTTGTATAAAAACAGGTAGTTGATTTGCCAATATCAGTGACAAACAATTGTTTATTCATTTCTTTGTTCCTTATTTTTTTACTTTCCCCTTACTTCAGCTTTAAGGAAGTTGTTGCTTAATTGCATGAAGCATTTAAGCATCAGGACCCCTTTCACACTCAAAGTTTAATGAAATCAATATAAAATAAATAGATTTTGCAGGGTGGGCTGATCAACCAAGTTCCAATAGTAGAGGGGCTGTGGTTTTTCACTGCATGGGAAGATCATCATCATGTTGCCTGCCTGCCTTACCTCAGGATAGCCCATGTATGTGGATATTCACATTTGCAGCAATTGAGGGACACCCTTATCTTACATCAACTTACATTTTTTTCTCATTTATACAACTGAGTAGTTGAGGGTTACAGACCTTGCTCAAGGATCCAGCACTGGTAACTTGGCAGTGCTGGAATTTGAACTCACAAGCTTCCAAGCACAAGTACAACATCTTAACCACTGAACTACCACTGTCCAGTGCCGATGTGAGTTTTGTCACTAGTCTGTTCTCCCATGGTAGGTGAGGTTTGTGGATGCTGTCACATTGCCTAAATGCATTTTACAATTTAATGGTAGATTTTACAATTTAACTGTGGCAGATTTATAAAGCTTAAATGTTATAATGTCAAAATGGATGAATGAAGAACTGCAAAATACCTTGCTGGATTTTTTTGCCACTATGACGTCTGGAAATATATTTTTGACGCAATGAATGCTAGCTTTTCCTACACTGGACACCATAGACACCTACACTTCTGCTTACTTTATTAGGTAGTGTTTCCTCACAGCTCTACCACAGCATCTAACCATGCAGCAGCTCAACTCATCAAACAGCTCGCTCACCACTAGTGTCTCAACTGAAAACATGATTGCCAGTAGTGTGCTGGCAGTTTGCTTCATACTGGGAGTCCCTGCTAACATAGCAGTAATGGTACGTCTTGTTGGATGGCTGAAGAGAGGCAGTTTCACCCCGAGACTGATGCTAAGCCTGGCTGTATCAGATCTGCTCACTCTGCTTTCTCTGCCGGTGTGGATATGGGCTCTTCTGCATGGCTGGATCTTTGGCTTGGTCCTGTGTAAGCTTCTCTCCTATTTGGTGTACTTAAGCCTGTACTGTAGCATGCTGTGCGTGATTGTGATGAGTGTGCAGCGATACATGCAAGTGCTACATCCTCAGAAATGGAAGAAGCTTGGCAGAAAAGGAAAGAAGATCCTTGTGAGTGGGATTTGGATTCTAAGTGGAGTGTTATCGTCCTATGCTCTCGTACAGCGCACGCTAACTACTGACAAGGAAGGACAC